ATCAGTTCAGGCGGGAGCCTGAATGAGAACACTTTTTGGAAAATCACGACTATGTGAAATTCTGTGAAAATGTAAGTTCTACTCATATGGTTGTGGGAAAAATTCAATTATCAATCCCCTCATCACCTTAAACGAAATAGCCTTACTACGCCCCATACATCTTCAGATAATCTGACAATCTCTACGCCAAGGGAATATTTCCTCTGTTATCAAAGAGACCAATTCACGAATCTCATCTGATCAACTTTTCTTTCGATTTTAAAAATCAAGTCACATTAAATTATTAAGAGACTCTTCAGAACCTGTCTTTTGTTCAAAAAAATGTAATAATTAATAATAAGAGGGAGACCTTGATTTTCTGCCAAATAATGCCTATAAAAGCCATCTCGGTGTTATTGGTTCGTCTGTCTTGAGTCTAGGCATAGATTGCCTACCAACTGGTCCAATTTCAAAAGGATCAGAAAGACGAAGCAGAATTTGGTCGCAGTCAGTAAAAGCCAATGGCAACCACGTGAGTAGTGAACAGTCTCTACAATGACTACCTTTTGACAAGTCTTGTCAACTAGCAAGTAGATAGGTGATTTAACCTTTTGTCTTTTCGTTCCGAAGTAGTTGGACAATGCAGTAGCCCCAGCAAGCGAACTTATGCCTACACTTTCAAAGAAACCGTCTTCTTCTAAAAAGTAGTTGTGCCTAATCCCGACCTCTTTAGGTGGTTTCCACATGTAATGTGAGAATGTGATTTTGGCATGATGACACAACTGCAAATTACACACATCTGTAAAATGATGCAACCGAGCAGGTGGCTTGAATGGGAGGCTAGATGCAGGTCTGTGTGGTAATCTGTTTTCTTCTTAAGACTCTCGAGCTGCTGCTGAGACGTTGAAGCGAAGTGGAACCTGCCGGCCAGCCAGGATGAGAACGACCCTTCGGAAGGGACGGTTATGTGAGTTTCTTGAAGCTACAATCGACCTTAGCAATATTCACATACCTGACAGCCGACTAAGCTAATAAATTTGTCACACCAGTTCGCTTGGTGAGATGTAAGGACTGGCAGTAGAGTTTGTTTCACTTTGCCATTTGTGGGCCCACCAAGCCTTGACTCACAAAAGACTTGCTCATCCGGGCTGGACTGCATGTTCGACCTCGCCGAGGTCTCATCAACTCGCCGAAACCGGGTAGAGAGCGTTGTGACAGCAGGTTTTCACCCAACCACACAGCCAAACATTGGTGCTAGTGGATAACAGGGCAGACAAGATCTCTCCCAAATAACATTTAGAATGGAAATGTGAATGAGGCGATCATCTATTTGCAATTGCAATAGACGGCGTTACTTATATTTAATATGAGTAGTCTATGCATTATCTGCAATTATTGCAATATAATTTAATCACTCCAAGACGCTTGGGCCGATTGATAGAGTAATTGTGGAGTTTTGCCTACACTAAAATGATACCGTTAATTTTCTCTTAGCCTTGCCTCCTAAAATGTTTTGCACCCAAGTTTGACCCCAGTTTTGACCCCACCAAGCATTCATCCACACCGCCAATTTGACATAAAAACGAGGCGTGAGCATCGTGGGAAAACGTCAGGATATACATAAGCAAATGCACGTTTGCTTTGTTGACAATCCCCCAATAAAATGTGATATGGGAGAAGTCTTGCTTGATTCGAGAGCCGAATCTTTCCTTTGACCCACCGGTACCCATCCGTGACTGTATTGCGGGATGTACACAAATCGGGGATGAGACAGAGGCTAAGTCAAATATGCAATCCAGCCCAGGCAAGAAAATGTACCAATCCACGAAACACATCAAGTGGCCTAGGTTGAATAAGGTCTTAATGAAGTATCGTTGCTAGGTTTGGAAGATATTCAAAAGAATTAAACTACTGTTTCCGCACTATGTCCCCTCCACCCATCCTATAGTGCTTTCTGAGCTTCTGTAAAAAATCTGGTTCTAATTCTTGTCGAAATGCTTTATAGAACAGTTTTTCTTCTGATTGATTCCTGGACCGGTTACAACTTAGTAAACCGCCTCAAAGCTGGCAATACAGATTTTTTCTGCAACATTTCAATTTATCGAAAATGTCTTAATTTTTTGGAATGTACGTGCACAGCCTTGGCTGATGTCACTTCGTCTCGTGCCTCGAGTGAAGGCCATAAACAGAGAAAGCTGCCTCCAACCTGAGATACCGTATTGCCAGACATTTTGCCATACCAACTGGCAGGTGAGGCGACTAATTTCCTCTTTTTCTATTCATGCCGATATGTTGCAAGCAAAGAATGAGAAGAATAACTCTCTTCACTGGGCTACATTCATTTCGTCCGGATCCCTGCCGCTCGACTCTCTCAGTCGAGCAGATTCCGGTGGCCAGAGCCCGTTCGCAGCCACTGCTCTTCTTGCGCCTCTCCCTCCGGTCCTCTTTCAACCGATCGAGTCGTACAAGTCTGGTGAAATTTTATACCTCCGTCTTCAGACGGTGTGTCACATTAGGAGCTTGGCAATGCTTTAATATCGAGATGAAGCGAGGAATGCGATAGATTGAGCAACATAATGGCGATTTGGGAGACACTTTGCCTAACCTAAAGCGCAAAGCGAACCTGTCGACCAGGACTCATACTCGTAGCCTGCTATGATTCAGTCGCCAAAGGAACTGTGCTGCTATTGCCTCCATGGGCTAGTGAGGCTAGAAGAGAATACCATATCGCAAACTTGTTTGCCGATAAAAGCATAGTCGTTATGATTAGGCTTGTAAAAAGATATATCGACAGTCTCTACACCTACTTATACTGAGAATAAGTAATATGGTCGATTGTAATGTAAAAAATAATTTTTCGTATATAATCAGAGTTTTGAGACTACCAGTAAATCAGATATATGAGTTGTGTTTGCCCTATTTCATTTAAAGATGATGAAGGACTGTTAGGAGAAGAATTTTCCCATAATGATTTGAGTTAAGCTGACGTTTTCATTGAATTTCACATAGCCTTGCTTTCACAATAGTTGTTCTCATTCCGCTGGAGTGGACTGCAGTTTCGACCTTCCCCAGTCTTATGAACATCCCCGGCGGGAGTCGAACCGTGACAGTGCAGCAGATAATATCGTCACATTAACCAATACGCCACATTTTCACGAGTGCTCTTGTGTTGCACGGAAGATGTGAATTTCAATGATGGCCAGGCATTTTCCCATTTCACATTCTGTGTTGGGATTGCCGATAAAGCAAAGTTATATTTGCTGTAACAATCGACTACACTACTCATTTTTCATTTATAAGCAGAGTTTTGAGACCATCGGTGAGAAGTTGCTAAGACCTATGAGAGGCAGAAGCTGCAGTCCATCCTGGAGGAAAACGGCTTTTGGGAAAGTCGAAATATGTGAAATTCAGTGGAAACATCAGCTCTACTCATGTCATTGTTGAAAAATTCTACTACCAGTCCGTCATCACCCTAAATGAAATAGAGGGAATAGATCTCATGTAAAATATAATTTTGCCTAAAGAAAATGTGATATTGTAGGGGATCCACTGCCATTCGTGGAAACATGTCTAGATTATGCGATGAACCATAAAGGTTCGATCCCATTTTTTGGTGCCAAGGAAATGATTAGACAAAGTCTTGCTGAAATCCAGTCCAATCTAGTCGGGATAAGAATAACCTTTAAGAGGCAGGCATCGTTGGGCTTGTCTAAATCTTTGTGGGAAAAATCCACTATTCGTCTTTAATCGTCTTATACGAACTAGGAACCCACTCAGATTTGCCTCATAGATCCCTTTCTTATCAGGGTTTGGCTGTAGCTCCAACCTTGCCCGAGCCGCATCAATACCCTCAGCCGGAATAGAGATTGGGTCATGTGCCTCACATAACTCATCATTTTGGGTATATTTCTTAAAGAATCTATTTGAATGTGTTCTTGCAAAACCTTGAAGGATGAATCTCGTTCAGCGCCCTCATCCATTAAGTGCATGGTGATTATCTGTTTAGAGCTGTGTGCTTGGCACTTTCACATACTTTTTGTCAGCAGAATCATTAATCCTCATCATTTTTGGCGCCTCTTTACAACTCTTCAAAGTGACGCTTTATACTGTCTCCCGAACCACACGACCAAATTGCGAAAACGAGGCTGTAGAAATGCTAAACACCGCGATAAATACCACATCACCCTGGTTATCATAACTTCGATTATCTTTCTTTGGTATTGAAATAGAGTATAATTGAATATGCAATGATATGAGAGTAGACCTCACGATGCCGTTGATACACATTTGGTCATTACTCTCAGAAGGCTGGACTATCGTCCAGGTTTCACCAACACCCTCCTACATTATTGTGGGAAAATTGAACCATCAGTTCTTCGCCAGCTTGTGCAACGTAGGGAGAATGCAATTCTTATTTACGCTATAGTGTTAGCATCACAACCTACTATAAGAAAAGAGAAGTAATAGTCTATTGTAATAGCAAAATGAAATGTGATATGACGGCAGCCTGGTTGGCCTTGAAGTATACTTCTGCCCTGCGACCTACTTGCATACGTGGCAGTGTGGCATAATCATAATCAGTCTAACATAAACGCTTCCGCAGCCGGGTTAGATTCTGATTTGGAGTGCATGTAAGAAGATGAAGCAAAGCCAAAATTGCTATCCACTCCAGTCGAGACTGCATGTGAACACATTTTAAGAGGAATGTTTAAGTGTAGTTCAATGATAATGGAAGGCCTACTCATCTCAGCCATCACCATTTGCGACCTGGTGTGAACACATTTTATACTCCATTTGCCTTCTGGCAAAGCACTTGCTGAAGGACCTTGTACTTAGTTTACTTTTTGTTTGCTTACACATGACGAAATACGAAACTGAATAAGAGATGATTCACATTCTAATCACCTTTTGCGTCACCATAAAAGGAAAGGAGAAGTAGAGAGATAGCTTCTTTGGCCAGTAAGCCTCGTAACTAGACCCTTTTTGTGGTCCATTTAATTAATTAGCCGTTATATTTCATCTGAATGAAAGTTGCCATACTTCCTAACAAGAGTCCCCGTACTTCGCCACTCGTCAAACAAGGAATAGAGCTTCTACATAAAGTAGTATCAGTAAAAACTTGGTCCACTTTGGTCGTCCAACATGATTTAAAGGCTGATAGTATAGTTCTTCCACAATGAAGTGAGTAGGCTTCAGGATACCATATGTACGTATGGTATGAATTATTATCAACTTTCTTCTGGCTATACGAAAATCAAGAAATCTATATCCCTGCAAGTTAATACTGTAAGATTTCAAAAAATTTGTATTTTACATGATACAGTTCCTAGATGTTGTATTCTTGGTAGACGTCCAGATTTACCTATTTCCACTAATAGGATACTGTAGCATGTATCAGGTGGTTTGGTTAAGACTAGACTCAAAGAAAGTATAGACAAATTACATGACCTGATTAGAACCAAAACAAGGACTAGACTATCCATTTCTTAGCTATTTTTTTAAGAAGACTTTCTCAAAATGCAGAAAATGGCGGACGGTTTGGCAGATCCCGACATGATAAGAAATTAAGGAATTTAGGCATCAACATCAGCCAAAGGAATCTTCGAAACAATAAGGAGGTAGTTAAACTTATTACTATTTTTTCTAGCAAAAATAAAGTCAGTAATTTATTCAGGATATCTATTGATGCTGATGCTATGCTCCTCTTGGAAAGGAGTTTAAACTTTGCCTTTCCAAATGAGCAAAATCATCCTATGGAGATACTGGTTGAGTTAATTAACTTAACGGACAAGCTGCCAGAAGAGGCTAAGAATAGTGTGTAAAGAGAAGTGATTCCTCATTTTGATGAAGAAGTTATTCCAAAGAAATCGTATGATTTGAATGGAGTTTCTAGATATTTGCACCAAAATAATCTATTTGTTTTAAGGGCAGGTAAAGGTGGTGCAGTGGTCATCATGGATAGGTTGATTTATATAGAAAAAAGGATGGTTAATTTAAACGACTCAGAAACATACAGACTTTAAGTAAAGAATACCACAGAAAGTCTTAAGGCCAGGCTTAGGGAAACGCTTAAAA